CCGGTTCTCTGCCCTAATGATTTCTTCCAACAACCAGTTCACCAAACTGCTCAGAAATTTAACAACCGGTTCTCCTGAAGTGGTGCGAACTGGTTGAATCCCACCACTGCTTGGTGGGCGTGGATTGGTGAGTATGGCAGGGGAAGGATACTGTAAAATCTCCATTCCCTCCCCCCCCCCGACTCCAGGGGAAGTTTACTGCAAAATCCCCATTTCCTCCCAATCATGGGGGCCAGTCAGAATTTTTACTACCGGTTCTCCAAGCTACTCAAAGTTTCCACTACCGGTTCTCCAGAACTGGTCAGAACCTGCTGGAACCCACCTCTGTCGCAAACCTTTCCAGGAAACATTCTAGTCTGAGAACATATTGACTGGAAGGAACTTTGACTATTTTAATTTCTGTATAAATGAGGTTGATGTAAACACAAATAATACTGGATGCCTGGTTATGTATAAATATTATTATTCAGATACGCACAACACAATAATTTTTGCAACCTTCAATTTAACAAAATATAAGAGCAACCCTATGATTCTATCAAGTTTTAATCACAAGCAAATTCGTCTAAGTGTGTGTGAGATTTTAATTCTAATTTCCAAATACAATTACTGAATTTTTAGTTAATGGTTTCTAGATTGAAGAGCTAAGACCTCCTTGCTTAATTCTTAATAAAGTGTCAAAAGAAAAACAAGCAGTCCTTTTAGATATGGATTCCCAAATGATAATTCTTTATGTCTGAGCTAAAATTAATAAATAAATATTAAGCTATTAAGTGATGCTTACATGCAAGACAGCAAGTACTTCATGTATTCCATATACTGAAATCATCCAGTCAGTGAATGGCATCTGGCAACTAGTGTTGCATCCCAGTTCTAATAAAGCTATACATGCTTTCCCTGTACTAGCACCAAAACAATTGCCATAAATCCATGTTTTGGGATCTGTTAGATTAGATCCATGCTTTAGGCATCCCATTTTAGAAACCTCCTCTGGATTTTTAGAATTCCACAGGCATGTCTGTGCAGGAAAAAATCCAAAAAGCAGTAGAAGACCTATTACATGAATAATGCCACAAATAACTACATCAATGCAGCAACATAAAAAGGAGACAAAACTGTAGCAGGTAAATTCAAATGTTAATAACAACTAAAAAAAGAGTATTTTTTCCTATGAAGTTACTGAAAACCTGAATTTACAAGGTTGTATATAAAGCACCTAGCCTTTCCAGACCCAGAAGAGGAAAATATTTAACAGCATAAACAACTAAACAGAATGAAACTACCTCTTTTATAGGATTCTAATCCTCTAAAATATTTCCTTAGAAATGCAGCCTTCCCAGTAATTCTAGAGCCTCTTCAATGTGACTTGGTGTCAGGAAGAGCATAACATCACATCCAAAAGAAATCAGAAATCAAAAGGCAGGCAGCCTTTTGAGGCCAAGTCATACTGCCAAAATGCACTCATTAGGATGTCCTGATTTCTCATACTTTTTGACAGTTCTCTTTTTCCCATGTGTAGAAAGCAGCTTCCTATTAGAGCAGCATGCTTCCAGTATCAAACACACTTGTTCTGATCAATATTGTCAGATCCTGTGAAAATTTCTGTTTACCAAGGTGCAATTTTAATTTTGTATATAGATTATTATTCATTTCTGTATAGTCAAATAGCAGTTACCTTAGTTACATTATCTACAGCAGCAAGCATATTGTATGGTAAAGGTAAAGGTAAAGGTTCCCCTCGCACATACGTGTTAGTCATTCTCGACTCTAGGTGGCTGTGCTCATCTCAGTTTCTAAGGCAAAGAGCCAGCGCTGTCTGATGACAATTCCGTGGTCATGTGGCTGGCATGACTAAACGTCAAAGGTGCAGGGAACGCTGTTACCTTCCCACCAAGGTGGTCCCTATTTTTCTACTTGCATTTTTACATGCTTTCGAACTGCTAGGTTGGCAGAAGCTGGAACAAGTAACGGGAGCTCACCCCATTACACACCACTGGGGATTCGAACCACTGAACTGCTGACCTTTCTGATCGACAAGCTCAGTGTCTTAGCCATTGCGTCCCCGTCATTGTATTGTAATATATTGATTAAACAGGAGAAAAACTTTCCCAAATGGGAAGTTTCTTATTTAGCCATGAGATAATGATGTGCTTATTCTGTTTTCTGATTTATTTTTCTACCATTTGTAATTTTTAAACAAATACTATCTATATGGAGAGTAAATATTTGCAAAGGAAGTCTCTGAGCCAAACAGCCCCAAGGAAGAGATCTGCACAGGGCTGGGCTTGCAACAGAAACTGACTACTAGTAAAAAGGGGATAGTGTGGATTTCCCCAGGAAGGGCTGTATAACCCTTCATTTGTTAAGTAATAAAAGCCATTTCAATCTTTTCCAGCAGTGGCAAACGTTTCTTGTCACAGTCTGCCAAAATCTCATTCTAATCAAAGATATCCCAAAGGTGCTTTTTCAAGAGGTAACTGGACTTTCTGGTTTTTCTTTGAAGACATTTTGCTTCTCATCCAAGAAGCTTCTTCACATCTCATTGGATGGTGGGGAATAAAAGGATTTATACTTCTTGCAAACAATTGATCATTTGCATTGTTTTAGACCAGCAGTCACCAACTGGTGGTCCATGGACTACTGGTGGTCCGTGAGAAAATGTTGGTGGTCTGCAGAAAAATTATTTGCATTTTTTAATATTGCACTAAATCAGGGGTCCTCAAACGATGGTCCTTGGGCCAGATACGTGCAATGAACATTTGTGTTGCTGCAGAGAGTCTCCCCCTTCAGGGTCTTTTTGTGTGGGTCAGAGGGGGGCAGAAATTCCAACTTGGGGTCTGCTTCAGCCTCCTGGTGCAGGGCTTTGGGTGAAGGCTGGAGAGAAGCGTCGTGGTGGCAAGGTGCTGGAGGGCGTTGTTCTAGTGGGACTGCATCATGGCCTGGAACTGGCTGACCACCTCAACCCACTGAGCCTCCAGGCGCCGGTACCTGGTCTTGCACTCCTGCAGGTCTTCCCTCTGCTTGGAAAGCCTATGCTCGTAGTCCTGAGTGAGGTGCTTCTGCTGAGCCTCCTTCTCAGTCAGATCCAATTCGAACTGAGACAGTTGTTTTGCCAACTCTTTCTCGTGGTGGCTGCTTAGCTCCAACAACTGCTTCCTCTTGGGGCCCTAAGGAGCCCAGGCGGGGAGGCGAGGAGTGGCTGGGAGGGGAGGGGTGAGTAGAGGCCGGCGAGGCACCCCCCCATGTGAATGACATCAAAATGGCCATCAGATTGGCCACGCCCACCCAGTCACATGACCACCTAGCCATGCCCACCCAGCTGATGATTAGGCCGATCATATTAGCGGTCTGTGGTATTTTAAATTTTGAATTTAGTGGTCCCTGAGGTCCAAAAGGTTGGGGACCCCTGTTTTAGACAGTCACTGAGGCCACCTGGAGGTTTATCTGGGTAGTGCAAATGAGTGTGGAGCCTTCTTGGAACTGTTGAAAGGACTGTGTTGTAGACTGGAGATAGATGAGGTTGTATCCTTCCCCCTCTGTTAAGAGAGACACAAACTGAGCAACGTGGTATATGCACTACAATGCAGTGAGCCATGTGCCGATCTGTACACTGGGGAAACAAAACAACCACTTCATAAACGCATGGCCAAACACAGGCGAACAAACCCATCAGGACAAGATTAGCATCTGCATTTAAAAGACAAAGGCTACTCTTTTGAAGACAGCAAAGTCCACATTTTGGATGAAGAGGATTGCTGGTTTGAAAATTGGTCAAAAAGGCCATATATGTCATAATTGAGGAGCACTCTCTCAACAGAGGGGGGGGGATACAACATCACCTATCACCAGTCTACAACACAGTCCTTTCAACAGTTCCAAGAAGGCTCCACACCAATTTGCACTACTCTGGTGACCCTGACACAGATAAACTTCCAGGTGGCCTCAGTGACTCTAAAAGGATGCAAATGACCATCTGTTTGCAAGGAGTATAAATCTTTCCATTCCCCACCATTCAGTCAGAGCTGAAGAAACTTCTTGGATGAGAAGCGAAATGTCTTCAAAGAAAAACCAGAAAGTCCAGTTGCCTCTTGAAAAAGCACCTTTGGGACAACCATGACCTGGATGACTGAGAATCTCCATAGACATTCTAATCAAAGAGTGAGCAAAATATACCTAGCACTAATCAAATAAAAAATGCCTCCATTTTGGATATCCAAAATATTGCTTCACATGCAGCTTGTGGTCATTCCATCTTTCTCTCTTTAATGGATGCAGAGGTGGCAGTGGGTGACGTAGATAAACAGCACTCGCTGGACCTTCTGGGGAAATCAGCAAATGGCACCAAAAGTCCTTGCTGGGACATTCCTGTGGTTCCAAAGGCTGCATTATACTGAGCACAAGTCTCACTGGAATAAAAAATGTGCCACTGAACTCCTACAGAATTATGACAGCACTCTGCAGTTTGAAGGATTTGGGGGAACATGCTTATCAGATCCCATTTAGATGCAGTTAACAGAAATATATTGTGAACAACAACTCTGAATGCCTGCATTCTCTTCAACACAGATATATTTTGCATTGAGGGGCAGTTGTGGGTTGCTGTCTTATTTAGGCTTCTGGGAGCTAACTATAGGTTAACTTGCAGGTCAAACTACATGCAACCATATAAACAGGACTTGTTGACCACCTTTGGCTTCAAAAATATCGTAAGGACTCTTGGCATCATCATGAGAACTTCACAGGCTGAAAAACATTTTATATTACCACAGCAGCCCATTGCAGAGGAAGAGTAAATTAAGGCAATTTCAAAGCAGGAAACTGAGGGAGGTCTCTGATTAGTATAATACAGAAATATATATTTGAGACAGTGTTCATTCTAATGTGATAGCAACCAATTGTTCCAAAAAAAGCTGGGAATCAACATTAAGTGCATAGTGAACACAAAACCAAGAACTGAGGTGGTGGATGGAAGCTGTATGCAATGATGCACACTAAAGCCATCCTTTAACTTCACTTTTAATAACTCATTGGATAAAATGAAGAAATTGATGGGACAACTTAAGGAAATGTAAAAAAAAAAAAAATCCAAAAACATTACAATACATTGAAAAAAAGTTGGTAAACACACATTCCACATGCTTGATTCACTTGCCCAGGCTGCCTTAAAAACATTAAAATAATTCGGAAGTTCCAAGATATCCCCCTCCCAAAACCAAACATCAAAACAAAACCAAGCAGGTTATTTATACCAACTTCTTCGCTCTGGATTCTGGAAATCATGCAAAAGTCAAATACACAATCACTCATTCTCTCTCTCTCTCTCCTACTACTTATGCTTAAGTAAAAGAAGCAATGAAAATAAATCTCAATGTAATATATGGACTTCAGCATGGCTCTACACAAATATGATAAAGAAACAAATATTTAAAAGACAAAGCAAATGATCATTCCTTATGAGCATCATTTGCAGTTAGCCTATTTGCACGTAAAACTGGGTGCCAACTAGTCCAGAAGAACTAAGCAGTACATCAACAAGATTATAAATTAAATTATAAATTAAATAAATAAATGAATTTAAATAACATGCATTGTGGTTCTCCTAGTCACTGCCAGCTCTGTTGACTGTCTTCCAGATATGCAATTGCCAACAGCCAAGTTTGTTTCAAGTAATCATAGTAAACACTAATCCCTGTTGCTGTCTGGACTGGAATATAATGTTAAACTATGGTTAGTTGAAAGCAGAAGTAAAAACCTCCAATATTCCCTCTGAGATCTATATAGGAATACTGAAAGTCCAAATATTGATTTAGAACCATTTTTGTAATATTTTCATTATTTTCTAATGTTGCATGTTAAGTGGTTAGAACATATGTCCCAGTGCTTCTTAGTGCAGAATTTAAAAGTATGCAAGAAATTTCACTTTCAGGATGAAGTGTTCAAGCTCTTATTGACTCTGCTACAGTACTCAGAGCCTTGATATATATATACTACAATATGAATGTTAAAAGCAGAAAGAGTCAGATTCTAATTCCATCATCCAAATGCAGGAAATTTCTTCTACAGGGTATGAGCAAAGCAATGTCCATTATTTAACATCAAAGGGGATTAAATATTCAAACTTTGTGGTGTTACATGTGGGAAAATCAGAATCTGAATTAATGATTTGTGAACAACTGTGTTGTGAACAAGTATTTAACTGTGAATATTTCATCACTGAAAACAATTTCTGTAGTATTCTGGAATATTAACATAAGACCTAGGCAAGTTTTAGCACTTGGTTTATAGAGGTTTTAAGGACAATTACCATGCTGTGCTTCTAAAATGGAACTGACTTAATTTTGGGGGAGCAGGGAAAATATTCATACAAGCAGTTTATTAAGTCATCTTTCTAAGCTGCAAAAAGCTCTACAAATACCTGTCCACAGGCACATTGTCCTAAGTAGTTTGTGAACTTTAAATAACAATGCCATCTATTTCTATCAAAAAGAAAAATCACTTGAAGTTCAGTAATAAATACAAGCTAATGAGATCTTTCAATGTAAAGAGAATGCAATCAATGCAGACAATAGTAAATATTTCAAGCAAACTACTTTTGGTGTAACACCAGTTGGGTCCCTAACCAGTTCATAATTGCAATTTAGTCTTTGATGCTCTTAGCATTCTGAACTCCAGCTACTCAGGAACAAAACATACATATACATTTTTTATAGTAAAGTATTCTCCCTGGCAATGAACTAGTGCCTTAGAAGCATTCATTCCAAGCTGGGAAAGAGTGTAGGTTGTCACATTTTCCCCTCAGATCATGTATTCTGATAGGACAATTCAAACATGTTGCAGGCCTCTTCCAGGCTCTCATCCATATTCAGTCTTCTCCAAAAAGATTTCTGCTTCATCTGTAGCTCTCTCCTCACACACCTGGGGCATGGAATGGCCTTCTCTTTGCATTCTGAATGGAAGACAGCACTACAGCTTTCACACCTGTAAACACAAAATGAGATATTTATACATTTATACTCAGGTTTCTACCTTTCTCTGCTATCAAAAAATCATCTCTGTAAAATAAGCAGAATCCCTAACTCATACGGTAGTTTCCTGGGATCAGATACATTATTACTTCTGACAGCCAGTCATAGAGAATTTTGGGTACAAAGGATGCCCAGATTCTTACAGCTATTTTTTTTTCTAAATATGGTAACTTGCAGATACAGGGGTTTCAACTTCTAGATTTTCCCAGCCAGCATGCCCATTACTGGGAATTCTGGGTTAAAGTCTACATATCAGAAGTTGCTGAGAGTAAGACAATCCCACCCTCTACTCTTTTTCTACAGTGTGCTTATTTACTGTACTCATAGTTCAGTAAGACATTTGGGCTGCGACTCTGCATGTCATTACTGAAATCAGTGGTTTGTGTGCAGCTTAACTGCATGCAGGATTCTTATTGTCTTACTGATTTGATCTTTTATAATATTGTTTTATGAGATTGTGAGTCACCCAGAGTTGCATGACAGCAAGATAGGTGGCATATATATTTAATAAATAAATAAAAATTCTCAACATTTGCTTGAATTCTCTTGTAGACTTTACAAGCTTAAAAAGCATGCTACTCACTCTTTATTGGATTAAAGAAACATATTGTCCACCTAAGTTTAGACAATAGCCAAAGAAAAGACTCTGTATGACTTTAAAATTTTAAATCACCTCCTCTGACACTAATGCTGACTTTATAAAGTTAATTCCCCTTTCATTAGTGACTTGCAATTCCTTGCAATGGTTGGAGACTAATGATTGATGAGAATGTCATTTTGTATTCATTCATGGCCTCTCCCTTTCCCTCTTTTCTCATTCAACTGGAAAATGTAAAAGCTTATCAGGAATTTCTATTGAAATGAATGCCTGGAGGATTATGAAAGAGTGAAACACACCTGCCACTCCTATTCAGATGCATTAAATGTAGGGATAAGGGAAGGAGAAGAGAATTTTGAGATAAAAATTTAAGAACTACTACTTCGGTAAAACAATTTGTAATGAAGCAAACAGCCCATATCTTCTGTAACATCCATAATCAACTAATTTCTTAGTAAAAGCAAGAATGGAATGCCCAGAAACATTACTGGAAGAACAGGTTGGAATTCTACTACCATAGATTTCAGTTAAAATTAGCTTCCATTCTCTAAATTCCCAAAATATTTTATAAGCCCCCTTATTGCACATCTACTTAGAAATAACTTATAGCTGCAGCAGGGTGTCCTGTATTGAATATCACCTATCTTATTCATACCTTCTTCACAAAGTCAATGAACTGGGGAAGCACTCCTGCAGGACAACTTAGGAGATCAGAAGTTTGTCTAAACTGAAAGGAAAGCTCCAATATTTCCTTACTGTATTTTTATCTGTCCCTCCCCTGTTGCTAATTAATTCCATCCCCTTCCTTCCTTCCCCTCCCCCCAGTTATATCTAGAAATCTTAAGAGAAACTCGCAAATGAACAATGTTCTGCTTTGGTGGGTGCTCTGCAATTTATAACTCCTCACAGAGTCTCTATGGAGATTCTGAATCATCATCCAGGTCATGGTTGTCTCAAAAGTGCTTTTTCAAAACACAACTGGACCATTTTTTTTCTTGAGAAAGACAACGTTTCACTTCTCATCCAAGAACTGCTGAAACTTCTTGGATGAGAAGTGAAACATCTTCCTCAAGAAAAAACATTGTCCTTTTGAAAAGGGACCTTTGAGATTCTCACAGAGAGCAAGTTTGGAGTAGTGGTGAAGGCAGTAAGCTAGAAATCAGAAATCAGGAGTTCTAGTTCCACCTTAGACATGAAGCCAACTGGATGACCTTGGGCTAGTCACTCACTGTCAGACATAAGCAGGGAAAAACCACTTCTGAAAGTGACAAAAGCTCCAGGGACTAGTCCAGCTCAGGAGTCAAAAACTGACTCAAAAGCACAATAAATAAATAACTCTTTAGAAAGAAGGGTCTAATCAGGAAGCACTTTTGCTCTGTCCTGGAGTAGGAAATGAGGACCCCACCCAGACACCTTTCATGATTCCATTTGTTCTCTTATATATCTGTGATGCAGAGGCATGGCTTTGTAATGCTCAGTTTACACATTTTAATTCAGCCAAATTGCCAGATACTTCCTTAAAGCTTTTTTCATTTCCTAATCCAACTTCCATCTTAGATCCATTTTAAAAGATTTCATCTTTTCACTGATTAAAGATTGTTTTCTTTAATCATGGAGTCAGCATGGAGATCCATTCTGTCATATCAGCTATCATTGTTAACCAGAGGTGACACAGCACATTGCCCAATTCATTCACCACATGCAACGCAAAAGGAAAATCATTGCAATTTGAATAAGAAGTCCATTTCAGGATTCCATTGTGCCTTTCATGGGTCCCAGTAGCTAATAGAAAAAAGTAACCCATGTGACTCTAGCAACAAAAAGTCTGCCAAGACTGTCAGGTAGCATAATAGAAAATTTGCCATTTCTAAATGGTTATTTCAGGTGTACTCCCAAGGAAGAACATCTCACTTTTAAATGAGCCCCTGCTATAAATTTTATATGAAATAAGCATGTGAAGCTGATCTCAATGAGAGAACGTAACTTGGTCATTGTGCAGTTTTAACACTTTAAGCATAGACATGCTAGTCAATTATTCCGTAACACTCTATTCCTATGATTAAGAGATGAATTAAAATATTATAGACGATTCTATTTTCAACAGCTTTTGAGTCCTTGTTTAAGTCTCCTTTTTGTTTGCCTGAAACAAACTACATATTGTATGGCCATAATGTGACTCATTCATTATAACTTGTGTTTACTACAACTTCTATTTTTAGACTAATGATTGAAAGGCCTGGCGCTATAAAATTCAAATAAGAAAGAAAAGAAAAGAATTTGTGAACACTGTCTAACAACATGTTATGAGAGAAAATTTGGATTTGTCTCTCCTTGGGCAGGATGTAAGAAGCCTGCAAGGCACAGCCCACCAACCCCTGCTAATTAAGTGAAATGATTGAGTTTGTTTTGGAACCATTTGGCCAACAAAAGAATGTGTCACACTGATTAGCAAGAAAGGGGTATGTAATGTATGTGTATTCAAAGCCAGATGAATGCATTATCCAGGTATTTAGCTGTTTGCTCAAGGACTGACACACACAAAAAAAGAAGAATGCTGAACAAACAAGCTGGTGCAAATGAAAACCCCAGCTCTCAGGAGGGTTATCCTGTTCTAAGATTTATCTGTTTCAGGGAGAGATAAGCCTTTAAAAATTGCATCTGAAAATGCATCTACAGAAGATGGTATTTTCTAGCAGAAAGTATTCTCTTTGCTAATCTGTCTAAGATGCTACACTGTGGAGAGAACCTATGCAGACTCAGTTCAAAATATCTAACCATCTGGGAATCATGGGTTTGCATTTTCCTATGGCAGCAGACTCCATCCACAAAAGGAGCTCTGCCTTGGCAAACAAAAAGTTCAAGGCAGCGCCATAAGCAGCAAGATACAGAAACAAAGGTAGAAATGCACTTAAATTGCTTGTCTCTCAAGAACAGAAGAAGGGTTTCTTATAGGATCATTCACAAGGGCATCTAATTACAAGAGATGCTATTGCTATTTCATCAGTCTTTTTACTGGTTTAAACAAGGTTTAGTGTTGGAACGCCATTGATTTGATAGATGAGCTTGTACAAAGCTAATACAGCATCAATTGTCTCTTACTTTTACCTTTGTTCAAAGGCATAGTTTCAGATGCTAGTATACCCACTGACTCCCAAATGGTACAAAATTTCAAACGTGAGAAAACAGAAGCATACAGATAAATGTATGTGTGCATATAATGAAAACTTGGTGAACGCTGCAAATATCCCAAAATGTTATTAAACTGAATAATTGTTGATCTGAAGACTTTCAAGATGTCAGCACTCTGAAATGTTTCACCAGGAATTTCAATACACAATAAACATTTAAATTATTCAAATATTTTGTGCAAAATTAATTAGACATCATTAGAAACTTTTTAAAACTTTAAATTAACTAAAATAAAATAAAACTTCTGTCTCAAAGTATGCCATAATGGAAGTAACTGATAATTAACAGTTTTATCTATGTAACTACTCTTATGCATATGGAATACAAACAGTCCTGTGATTAGGTCAGTTTTTTCAATTTGCTCAATAACTGAATTGTGCAGTGATTTAAAATGATCAAAACAAAAAGAGTGAGTGAAAAACAGAAAAAAAATCTTTACTCTGAATGCAATGCAGTGTCAGCAAATGTAAAGAAACACAAGGGCAAGCAAAACAAGATAAAAATGGTATGTGTGTATGGTTTGGAGAAGCCTGAGTGGACACCTGAGTAACTGGTTATTACTGTGTTTCCCCAAAAATAAGACATGTCCGGATAATAAGCCCAATCGGGCTTTTCAGTGCATGCGATAATATAAGCCACCCACGCAAAATAAGCTCCCGATCAACTACTTACACGCATGCGCAGCTGGTCCCGCCATTTCCTCTGGTTGCTTGCCGCACAACCAAAATGAGTTGAGGAGGCGAGGCCGGGGGGGAGGGGAAGTGGGGGACATGCCCTCCCCTCCCTGTTCTTTGTGCCTGCCGAGCAGCCCAACACATCCCACCACACCCCAATGGCAACCACAGCCTGGCTGCTTCCCTTCCCCGCCGTCTCTTTTATCAAGAGTGGTAGCAGGTGGGGCAGGGGAGAAGCAAGATGCGTGGAGCGAGATGTGGCTTCCCTTGCCGTCCCTTCTCCCCCCCTCACCGGGCATGACAGGGCTCCTGCCCTTCGCTTAGCCACTTGCCCCCTTTAGGGATACAATTTGGGGGTGGCAGGTGGGGCGTGCAAGAAGTGGGACGCAGGTCTTTCAAGCTCCGTCACTTTCCTTGCCGTTGTGTCCAGGGAAACACGCTGTAAAAGAAAACCTTCTCGCGAGTTCAAGAAGTTTGGTTAAACTCGCGAGAAGGTTTTCTTTTACAGCATGTTTCCCTGGACACAACGGTGAGGAGTGCAACGAAGCTGGAAAGGTAAGACGCGCATCCCGTTTCTCACCCACCCTATCTGCCACCCCAAAATTGTAGGTAGCCAGTGGCATGAGCTGGGTTCTTCCACAGTTCAGTTATTCTGTTGTATTTTTCTATGGACTTCTAATAATAATATGTCATTTAACTCAAAAATCATAAATTCTAACCTGCTTGTAGAACTGTCCTCAAAGGGATACAGAATTTCACCATTATTACAGATCTCACAGATGAATCCCTTTTGACTACAAAGGCTGCAGCTGTAAACATGGGAGGTAGCAAATTTTATTACTTTCCCAAGGAAAGGGGCAAGCTTCCCTTCGATAACCTGGAAAATAACAAGAAAAATATAATAAAATCTTGATAAACCATAGAAAGGAATGAAAAGGTATCAATTTTGTTTACACTGAGCCACTCTCACTGAAGTCCATTTCCATGTTTTTCTACTGTTGCAGATGATACAATGGATTAAAATACTTAAGAAAGAGACTGCAAAAGTAAATGAACAGCACTGAAAACAAGATCCATTGAATCATTTTAAGGCTCACCTTTTCAAGTTTTGGGAAGAACTGAGACATACTAGCAAAGAACTGAAAAGCCTTGCCTTTCAGTTGATCTATACATATTATTCTACTAAAGCTGGAAGATACATAGCATTTTTCCCAGCATGCTGTGAACTGGACAGAATTCTAAGTCTCAGTGTCTTTACCAACATTTTTAGTATTACTTTGCTGTAATATATATCATAGTTTTGTATTGGTATATAAAAGTACATACCATCTGTCCATTAAGCATAATTCAAAATAATTGGTATCTTTCCCTTTCTGAAAGATGTCAGGTTTCAGACAGAATTTTACTAAGATGCTTCATTAAAAACAATCCATGAAATGCACTCAGCATGTGTAAAGCTATACTTAATGGATAATTAAGCATGACTGATCTATACACCTACCAAATATTTGAAATAGTACAATTTTTATTACAAGTAATACGCTATCATGACTGATATTTCAAGTGTCCGGCATCCAGAGATAATTTTGAATGTATTTGGGAAATGTGCACTCCACTGGAATGGTTACCTCACTTATACCCCATATACTTTTGTAAGCGATAGTTGAAGCCACTGCACAGATGTGGAATGGAAAAATGTAGGCAGCACAGGAAGTCCTGGGAACTGCTTGGATTACTGTCCCCAAATGGGAATGCAAAAAAATACAGCCACAGGAAGCAGAAAAATTATTGCTAGTTGTGCAGTTTGACATCTGTTTGGGATATAGGAAAATGGTAATGTTATAGGAAGATCCCCTCATGCTGCAGATTAAACAATGCACAAAGGTCACCATCTAAAATTAAGATTCAAGGCTCTGCTACTGTTATAACAGAATGTCTTAGTCAGTAACATAAGCAACTTTTCTTGAGAAAAAAAAATGCTCTTCCTTATTTAATTTTACTTCTGAGGTTCAAAAGTCTAAATAAGATCTAGGGAAGTGATATTTAACAAAAATAAGGAAACAGAATAAACAGTGGGCTATTATTAATGAATGGGCAAACAAACATGGCTGAAATGAAGAAACCTGAACTATAAATCAAGAATAGATATTGTATGCCCAGCACCAAGCATTCAGGCTTTATATTACAGTATGAGGCAACTTTTAAATGGTCAGAACTGTAATTTTATAAAAAAAAATATGAGGCAGCCCTGTACAGTAATATCACTGGAGAAGATATTGACAACATGTTTGGTTTGGGAATCTTGTTGGGATGTAGATGGGGGTTAAATACAATAGCTGTCATACATATAACACATCCGCTTGCTTTAACTGGGTTAAAAAGACAATAAACACCGTATTTCAACAGCAAAACATGGAGAATCTGAAAGAAGTGGTAAAGAGACTCCATGATGGCCATATGTTAACGAGGCAGCATGTTGGTTACCATAGTAATACTATAAATTAGTTAAATAAACCAGATTATCATAAACATTCCTTTTTGCATAAATGGAATATGAAAGGCTTTGCAAGGTCTATGTTAGTTAGAAACTAACTAACAAAGGAAACTAACTGAAACTAATAGAGGAAAATTAGTAGCAAAAGGAAACTCAAATAGCAGTAAAGAGTACCTCTATAAGAGAAGGCTAGTAGCTTAGAAAAAGTCTGACCAATGGAGACAATGAATTTATTGCAGATTGCAAAAAGACTATTGCCACTAGTAAGGGTTGCTTATGTGAATGAAAGATAAATGGAGAACATGCCTCTTGGCCTTATAACTACAAGGTAACCACAGAGTACAAACCATAATCCTGATTCCATCTTTTTTATAAAGATGTATAATGGATATTACATTCCATATTTAAAATGACTGCACGACTGTAACTTTGTTGCTTGTATCTTTACGATTTATATTGAGATTGTTTCCTAGTATGATTTGATTGCTTATTTGTACCCTATGACTATCATTAAGTGTTGTACCTATGATTCTTGATTATTATTATTATTATTTATTCAATTTATATACCGCCCTTCTCCTATTTGACTCAGGGCGGTGCACAGCCAGGGATAAAAAACATACCAATACAAAATTTAAAATCAATTAAAAGCATTATACAGCTTTGGCCCACAATTTAAAACAATCCAATTAAAACCCAATTTACACTTAAAAAGCTAAAAAGGGGGGGGGGTCACGCCAGCCCTGCTTGATGGAAAAGAAAAGTTTTTAGGGCACGGCGAAAGGCCCGGAGATCTGGTATCCTTCGTATCTCCGGGGGCAAATCGTTCCAGAGGGCAGGTGCTGCCACAGAGAAGGCCCTCCCCCTGGGGGTCGCCAGCCGACATTGCCTGGCTGACGGCACCCTGAGGAGTCCCTCTCTGTGGGAGCATACTGGTCGGTGGGAGGCTATCGGCGGCAGAAGGCGGTCTTGCAATACCCAGGTCCGATGCTATGGAGCGCTTTAAAGGTGGTGACCAACACCTTGAAGTGCACCCGGAAGACCACTGGAAGCCAATGCAGCTCGCGCAGGAGAAGCATCACATGGGAGCGCCCTCTTGCTCCCATAATCCCCTGCGCGGCCACATTGATGAATGTATCTTGTCTTTTTATGTTCACTGAGAGCAGTCGGCAGCTCCAACTGGCGCAGAGTGCGGCCGCACGGGTGGTTATGGGAGCGACATGGCGTTCCCATGTAACACCTCTCCTGCGCGAGCTGCACTGGCTCCCGGTGGTCTTCCGGGTGCGCGTCAAGGTTTTGGTTATCACCTTTAGAGCGCTCCATGGCTTAGGACGTTATTTACGGGACCGCCTGCTACCACCAATAGCCTCCCACCGGCCGGTATGCTCTCATAGAGAGAGGCTCCTCCGGTGCCGTCGGCCAATGTCGACTGGCGGCCCCCAAGGGGAGAGCCTTCTCTGTGGGGGCACCTACTATCTGGAATGAGCTCTCCCCAGAGATACGGAGGATCCCGGATCTGCGCACCTTCCGTCACGCTCTCAAGACTTTTTTATTCTATCAAGCCGGCCTGACCTAAATCTTTCCCCTTTAAAATGTAAATTTTAATTTGTTTTTAAAATTATTGGGTGTTTTAAATTTGTCTCGGCCAAATTGTTTAATTCGGTTTTATTCTGTTTTTAAATTTTGTATTTATGTGTTTTATTCTGTGGCTGTTCACCGCCCTGAGTCCTTCGGGAGTAGGGCAGTATATAAATCCAATAAATGAATGAAATGAAATGAATGAATATGCACCAAAGACAAATTCCTTGTGTGTCCAATGACACTTGGCCAATAAAGAATTCTATTCTGTTCTGTTCTGTTCTGTTCTGTTCTGTTCTGTTCTGTTCTGTTCTATTCTATTCTATTCTATTCTATTCTATTCTATTCTATTCTATTCTATTCTATTCTATTCTAAATTCTTGCTTTATTAAAGTTTCAAATAAATTCTAGGTTCTAGAGGCTGTAATAACCAGGGACCTCAGGCTTGTATTTCTTATGATATATTCTTCATGTACATTAAATAAATGTCATTATACTCTCTTGCCCAATTCTGAACAATTTAGTTTCTCCATATTCACTTCTAACTGTTGCTTTCTGGTTATTGTAAAATTTCTTTAAAAGGCAGATGAGGTGGCTCACCCATTTTTTAAAAGAAATATTCACAATCTGTTCTGCTTTACACAGTCAAAAACCTTCATATAATCAATAAAGCAAAAAGTGACATCATCTTGGATCTGCCTTGTGTTTCTCATTATCCATGGATGTTAGCAATGGGCTCTTGGGTGTCCTTGGCTCTTCAGAATCCAGCATGTATATGTGCTAGTTCTCATGCCATGAACTGTTGAAAATTGCAACACCTTGAGCACTATTTTATTAGCATGTGTGATAACCCTAGTTTTTCCATAGTCTGAGCATTTGTAGCAATATATTTTTTAGTACAGGTATTTGAATATAAATACATCTTTTACAGTCATTTGGTCATTGCTGCATTTTTCAAATCTTATAGCTTTTCTTAGGAATATTTTATAGGACTCATTTATCTTCACTTTCCAGAATATTCTACTTCAGTGATCCAATCTTAATCCATATCATCAATGTAGAGATATTTATGTCCATTTTTTTAGTATATTCATGTCATTATTTCTTGTATCTTTTTTCTGCAATAGATTCTTACCTTCTTTATCTTTAAGAATGACCAGATCTGCATAACAAATTACCTTAATTTCTGTAATTTTCTTAAATACTTCATTTTCTTGTTATCCTTAATTTCCTTGTCTTACTTATTTAGATATAACTCATTTTCTATTTTTGCTCTTTGGATGCATCCAGCCATCTCCCAATATCATATTGATGCTGTCCTGATTTAAACATCCATTTGGTTTTCTTGGCAGAATTCTGGAATTATTGCCATCTGAGTATTAGTTGCCATTCTGTTCTGCAGGGTTATCCATGGAGTGTATGCTCCATAAGTATAGTTCATAACATCACTGGGATGTACAAACCTTTTCACTATTACAAAGTAACAATCCATAAAAAGGCATAGATATGTAATACCCTGCAGAGCCAGGCTCATTATTTTAAAAATAATACAGGGACTCTGAATGTATATGATGTTTATATACAAGAACGTTATCTCTATGGTGTTTGATACAGGTACTATATTGTTTGGAAGCTATTCTGGAACACATTAATCATCTAGGGATATGGAAAGGTTTCCTAAAAGACACCTCAGATAGATGCACATGCAAAGAGTCATGTTGTTGTGACCCTGACTCCCGAGCCTGTCCTAACAGAGGAGGAGGACTCAGAAGGTGATGGGGAGGAACTGACAAGGCCTCCCTCTC